CAGTTTCGCATAACGGTTGTTTGAAACTTTTTTTTTCTTTAGGTGACCAGTCATTTAACAGTTACATGAAAACTGTGCTATATAAATAAATACTGATCATCCCACTGTATACAAAAACACTACTGCTAATTCTGTTATTATTTTTTTACTGTGGGGTCATGTAGAGTGTAAAAACTTATTACTTGTAATTGAAAAGTCATGAGCCATCATCACTGAGGCCTTGAGCAGCCACTTCACCCCAGGCTGCTCTGGGAGTCTGTCCCTGTAACAAGAGCACTGGAAGTCGCTTTGGATTAAAGCATCTCACAAATGACAACTTGCTGTTTAAGTGAGCACAGTGAAACATGTGGTAGATATTCTGACTAGACCAGAGTCAACTATTTTATTCAGGTAGATTTTAACCGAAAGGCTAAACTGTGTTTCACAGTATAAAGCTACATTTTTTTAAATGTCAGATTATGGAGTTGCCTCATGTGCTTAAATTTTATAGTTTATTAGTTACAATATTTGCTGTTGTACTGTTTCATTATTTATGGCAGGTTCCACTGTGACTACTGGAGCCTGTGGTCTCAAAATGTGCTCAATGAACTGCATATTTTTCACAGTAGAGTGCTGAAGGGATGACATATTTTTGTAGGCCAAAACTCAGAACCAATTTAGCATTCCATCGTCCTGAAGTCAATGGATTTTCTAAATGGGTTTTTGGTTAAATGCCTGAAATAAGGTCTGTTGTTAAACACAAGCTCAATATATTTTTATGTTTTATTCTACAACCAGCTAACCAGGCTAACCAGCGATATGAGAGACGGCATTGGTGGAGGGTTGAATGCAACGCTGTCAGATTACATCAGGCCTCATTCACCAGTGAGAAAACATTAAATTACAATAATAACGCCTTCCATTCTCGCTCGGTCTACAATAGCGTAATGGAACACACTGATGACGTATCATGTCTGCGCGAACAGAGTGCACGGAGGTATGCAAATACATTGACGGGCAGGTTGGACAGCCTATTGTAGCCCTCGGACCGAGGCATATGATTGGATGAACATTTTATGGACCTATGCCTACCACAGACGATACAAATACATATAAATACATTTAGAGCACTTAACTTAGTGATTGCTATCAGGATGTGAGACTTTCAACCTGCATAACAAAAAATGTTTTTGAACCAAACCACCTACCCTGCCTTTACAGTCTATAAAAGACAATGATTTGCAAAAATAAACCCACTCTGACAAATGTTCACAAAACATTCCCATCCAGCTCTTCTGCTTCTGAACATTACACACACATTCATCCAGCATACAGGCCTTCTAGGCTACTGCCAGTATCTAGGCCACAGGCTCCATCATATCTGTCCTTAGCAGACAGTAGCAGTTAAATTTGTTATGTGAAAGCCTCTCCCAGGCCTTTTTCATTCACCAGTTAACAGCACTCTTGTGTGTGTGCAATGCGTGTGTGTGCGCATGCATGCGTGTAAGTGATGGACACATTTATGCTCCCTTTCACTATCTGTTCATGTCCAGTGCTGTGATTTTAGGAATTGTGCTCTGTCACTTCACACAGCCACCAGGCCATCTCGCTTCCAGAGGAAAAAAAATCTTCCTAAAGATAATATGACACATGCAGGACAGAAACTGTTTTCTTCTCGTTTTATCTACTGAACAAGACAGCAGTAATTGAATGTATGACTAAAGCTCCATCCCACATGTTCTTGTGATAAAAAGCTACTGTGGACTGTGAGGGGCCGTACAAGCCATAATTCATTCTGGCACTCTCACACACTTACATTCTCCTTTCACATACATATATTTTTGCTTTCACACACTTACATTCTCCTTACACATGCATACATTTCTACTCTCACACACACATACATTCTCCTTTCACATACACATATTTTTTTACTTTCACATACTTACATTCTCCTTTCACATACATTTCTACTCTCACACACACATACATTCTCCTTTAACATACATATATATATATAGAATGTATGTATTTCTGAAGAAAATATGTGTATGTAAGAGAAGAATGTATGTATGTGTGAGAGAGAGTATAGTGGAAACGGAAGGCGTATAATGGAAACGGAAGGCAAGTCAGGCGCGATCAGGGTCATTGGGACAGGTCCTGATCCTGATCAACATGGCTGAGGTAGACGAGGCGGCCGCAGATGTATTTCAGCAAGTTATGTGGGTTTAAAAAATAAGTAAATAAATATTATCATCGTGAAAAGGTTACATGGCCTCGTCCCTTGAGGGAGTTGTGATTGAGGACGCGGCTCAGTCGTGTTGCCAGATACACGTATTATAAACTTCTATGGATTTTTTTTTTCACTTAATTTAGGAAGTGAATAAAGTGGGAGATTGCAAGTTAAGGACAACGATATCTTTATATTATTTCCATAACTCAAGATTTGGACTCATTGCGGTTTATTTATTTTTAGATTGTTTTGTTTTGTTTTTCAATATCTGGCAACGCCAGCATAACTGACAGTAATCAAAAATGACCAGGTTAAAAACAGTGCCGGCAGGTTATTCCTGACAGGATGCAATTCGGTAACACAAACGTAGTGATCATCATGATATATTATCTTTAAGACAGATGCACTGAAGACGGACACAAAGAGGAGAGAATAGTCGCGCAAACAGAGAAAATACTGTAACGTTACCAGACAGCATAGGCGCGGGACGTGGGGGTGCTGGGTGCTGCAGCAGCACCCCCTGTTTTTTCTGTGGGCAACTTTAACTGTTTAACTGTTGGGAATAAAAAAA